TGTACTGTTAGCTAGGTTCACCCAACTAATGTACGCCGACAAGTGGGTTCACATTACATGAGCTCTTCCTTAACTTTCTTAGTCGTCCCACATCTTATGATAGTCAATACGACATATTTGATTATTAAAATGCAGTTTTTGAAAAATTAATAACATTTATGTTTGTTTTGCTTGTGGTGTGATATTTTGTTATATAAGAGAGAGAAAAATATATTAGCAAAATATATTTCCATAATCGACTCATATATTTGAATATAAATAGTTCTTATAAGTTACGCATACATATATTTGTATATCTGCCTTTTCTCAGTGCAAACACAACATTGATCCACTGTAAAAAAATCCAGCTTTGTTCCAATGTATATAAACCAACGTTAATTCAATGAATATAATCTAACGTTAATCTATACACATTAGATTAACGCTACGTTATAAACATTGGATCAAAGTTAACCTATATACATTGGATCAATATCGGATTATACACAGTTAGTCAACGCTGTTCCATATATATTGGATCAACGTTGATCCTTATACATCTGATCAACATAGGATTTAGATCGGAAAAACAACCAACTTTTGTGATGTTTTTACATACGTTGGGCCAATGTAATTTTGCTAACTATTTTTAATCACGTCGTTATTAATGTTTTTATTAATATAAATGCAATAAAAAAAAAACATTGGATCAACATTGAATTTGCATCGAAGAAAACAGCCGACGTTTGCGATGTATTTACATTCGTCGGCCCAACGTAAGTGTGCTAGTTGGGTTGCAGTACTAATTACTTGACAGCATTGTAGAACCATAAAGTAGTAGAAGAATTTCTTTCCATTTAAAGTTGTTGAAGTTGTCAATATAAAATAAGTTTTCTTTTTTTATAAATAGTTTTTTACAATCACTAGTAAATAAGTATATCAATAAATTAGATAAATAATTATTTAAGCGTACAAGAATGTTGCTTAAATAATTATTAAAATGTCGTTGTTTTTAACTATTTAAAGTAATTAATAAATGGAGATCTTGGGCAACTGTTTTTTTTTTTTTTTTGCAAGGGAGATAAGTAGAAGAAAATATCATTTGAATGCATTCTAAGCAAAAGTGATTTTTTTTAATGGGATCTTGTGAGTCTATTGTGAGTGAATTTAAAAAAATTATGTTTGCAACTATTTCTACTTTCCTGCTTTAGGCATAAATGACATAAGTTCAGTTTCTACCTTCTTGTTTGCCAACTTTTTAACTTGATGGCAACCATTCTAGAATGTCTCTATAGTTTCACTTACCTTTTATAAAAATTAGTTTTGCCTTGCATCTTTTACGAGACAAGTTTTACAAACTTAAGTTATATAGTAATTATTGTAAAACTGAATCTAGACTCCACAAATACTTTTGTTAGTAAATTGATGAACTATTTGTCTTTAAAAAAATACGCTTCTTATTTCAATTAACTCAATAGAAACAGATCTATTTTATATTTTTTGTGCTGGCTTTATATAAACTTAATGCCGGCTTTATATAAACTTAATTATGAATCGAAACCTGAAAATCTTGGTTTAAAGATACCCTTACAAAATACCTTTAAAAAGTTAGAGAAATATGAATCACTTATTTTAAAATCTCTAACATGTTTTAAAAAGTAATTTGGCAAATCCTAATAAATTAAACTTATTAGCATCTGCTTTAAGGTCCTGCAAGAGCAATTAGAAAAAAACATCACTCCATCATCAAGCGAACCATGATAAACATTAGCCAAGAGAGTTCTTTTTTAATAATAGTATCGTTAACTATTGAAATTAACTTAATAAAAAGATGTTAGAGGCAGAGATGATATGATGAGATGAGGCAGAGATGTTAGAGGCAGAGATGAGATGATGAGATGAGGCAGAGATGTTAGAGGCAGAGATGAGATAATGAGATGAGGCAGAGATGTTAGAGGCAGAGATGAGATGATGATATGAGGCTGAGAGGAGATAATGATATGAGGCTGAGATGAGATGATGATATAAGGCAGAGATATTAGTGGCAGAGATAAGAGGAGGCAGAGATGAGATGATGAGATGAGACAGAGATGAGATGATGAGATGATATTATTATTATCATAGTTTAGATCAAATATACCCTTAAAAAATGTTTCTAGTATCCCCTGTTTTAGGGAAATTAATTTTTTTTTTTAACTATTAAAAAACAATAGAACCATAGATAAAATTTTTGATTTTTAATTTAGATAAGAATATAAAATAATACTTTTTATTTTTTATTTAGATAAAAACACAAAATAATACTTGGATTAACAGGCCTTTTAATATTTTCTGTAAAAAGCCTGTTTAAATTAACCGCATACCTGAACACGAAAAAAATAAAGTTAATAAGTTATATTAAAACTAAATAAATAAAGTTATATTTGTACAAATGCGAAAAATAATATATGAAATTTATAGTCATTAATGTAGCAATCATTCTATAAACGATGTATTTGTGAAAAATATGTTTTAAAAATACTTAGTTTGAAGTATAAAATACTTTTCAAAAACATTCCGTTCAAATCGTTCTTTACGCTCAATTTCTTTAATGGTTGAAGTGAATAAAATATATTTATTAAATAAAAAATATTTTAACAATTTTAACGAACTTTGCATATAAATATCGCAAAAAATAATGATAGCATCTAACGTTTCTGTGAAAACAAAGGTTTTATAATCACAAGTTCTACAAATAAAACTTTGTTTAATGATAATTGATATTTTTTATATAATTATATGCACAAGTGTTTACATAACTAAGTTTGTTGTTGAAGTATTTAAATACGGAAACGAAGAAATAAACAATATTAATATTGTTTCTAGATTCAATTATTATAATTTAACAGTTATTTATTATAATTAATTATTATATTTAACTATTATAATTATTAAATAATAAAATCGTTGTGTATGTATATATTATACTTTTAGATATAAATATAAATGTATACAAAAACCTTATACATATATATATATATATATATATATATATATATATATATATATATATATATATATATATATATATATATATATATATATATATATATAATTAAAAAAAAAATTTTAAAACAAAAAATAACGTGGGTGTGTGTTTGTGGGTGTGTGATATACACGTCATCTATTTATTATATTTTTTGTTTTAATTTATTTTGAAGTAATAAATGATAAAGTTCATAAACTAGCAACATACCTTTCTTAAACTAGCAACATACCAATTAAAGTTCAAAATATAAAGTTTGAAAACAGTTTAATATGAAATAAGAAATATATAAGCAATTACCATAATAATAAAATAAACGTTTTTTAATATGATTTTTTCAACATAATTCAACTTTAGACTGTCTTATCATTTTCATTGAATTGACTTTATGAAAATGATATTTTACAGAGTAATGGAGATAGAATGTTCTTTGACTTGAAATATCAAATAAAAGATCGTCCGTATATTACGTAACGCTAGACTCACAACAAAAAAGATCACAAGTTTCCCGTCGCAGAGCCTTTAAATAAACTAAAAACTAAAATAGTAATTTAAGTTCAATAAAAGTTGCTACGCAAAAAAGTAAATAATCTCCTACATTTATTTTTTAAATAACTTTTTGCTTTGTGTAATTTATGATGAACCCTAATTTATGATGATCCCTAAAAGTTGTTTGCTTTAGTCTCATGACGGAAATTATTTTACTACATTTGGTTGGCTTAACACACAGCAGGTTTTATATCATAATAAAGTCAGTAATGTAATATATACATTTGTGTATACATGCAAGAGTGTGTCAATCAAATGTGTGAAATTTTTCAAAATTAACTTTGTTTCGCCAGCAGTTTAAGATCACACACACAATTCCTTTAAAATTATTTTTAAAATAACTATTTTTTTAGGCAATAGGCATAAATGATACATTTATTTTACAGTAATGTTCATTCATTGTGTAAATGTGAAATAGACTTTTTTCAGTTTCAATGATTCCGCATTTCATAAATGGAAATTCGTAAAAAAGACGTCTTTTAAATTTTTTTTGAGTGCGTTGAACGTCATTGAATGTTTTGGACGTCTTTTGAACGTAAAAACGTCTTTTTTAGGTCCCGTGCCCACTAGTTATGTGTAGGACTTTTATTATTTAAATTATTTATAAATGGTATATATATTACTACGTACCTCGCGAAGCAAACCTAAAATATGCCAATAATATTTGACATGCATCGGTTATAATAAATATGAAAAATCTTATATCAATTAACTGTATATGGAGTTAACAAATATTAGCTATAACATTGGTAATGGAAAATAAAATATGCAGGATAATTAGTAATAGCTTTGACAAGTTGTTCCACTATCTCCAAGCTTGAGTCGATACAAATACTTTAAGTCCATTACTCCATAAAATTAGAAATATATTTACTAAGATGCTTGCTTTTGGTGAGTTAAAGTAAGTTTACAGCAAAGACAAGCACCAGCTTTAAAAAAAGGGGAGAAAGTTATATTTAGAGTAGATTTGACTACTATGGGTCCCGAAATTCCAAGATCCTGCAGTTTTTACGATCCAGAAATCCACTAGATACAACCAGTGTTGAGCAGCTAACAATTATAGGAAATTAAAGTATATTTTATTTTAATTATTTTAATTATATTTTGACTAGGATTTTCTGTTGTTAATGATTTTTTGTGCTACTAACTGAAATCAGAGTGATTAACCAAATTGAGTTGCGTTAGCAGTTTCAAGTTCTAAATACAATATTTTTCAGCATTTTTTTAACTAATTGGTTAACGAATTAACTCAAAACTGAGTAATTATTAACATAATTGTGTTTAGATACTTTCCTTACCTATAAAGGAGTTAATAATTTTCGAACAATTTTTTATCTGATTTGTGAAACAACAATTAAAGATTTAAGTAATAAATGTTAATTAATGTTAATTAATGTTAAATCAAAAAAATAATATTATGTAACGACTATTTGAATAGTTTTAAAACATCTGACGGAAATGTTTTATGATTTGTTCTGCGTGATGTTGATTTACGCAGTGATGAAATAACAGGGTAAGTTGAAACAAAGAGCTTGTTTATTAGATCAGTATTTGTTGTTATTCTGTATGTTTTTCGGCTGCAATTTTTACAATAAGTTATAAAATCTTTTTTATATCTTGCCTTTTGAGCTTTTTTAGACATATTCTATAAGTAATGTTTGAAAAATGTGCACCCACCCTGCTACCAGAAACAAATCGTCACATTTTATTGACCACTCTTCTCTAAAATTAAGCAACTAATTTGTAACCCTCCGCTCCACTAAAAAAAATTTCAGTGGTTTTAAATACAATGATATTTTAAATTTTCTTAGCTGATTTTATATAACCAATTATAAACAAATTTTCAAACTAATAATAAATAATTATCATTTAATATTATTTTGAAAGTCACATAATGAAAATATTGTTAGAAGGCAAAGTATTTAAATATATTTTAATATTTTATGTTACAACTAAGTTGGTCTAAAATCTACAAAAGTAAAATCCAAAATGCAATTCCTTAAAAGTAGACGTTGAACCCGTATATTTTCGGGTCCACGCCTAACATCTTGAACACCTTATTAGGCGGGTCCACGCCTCGTATCTTAAATGCCTTATTAAACACGATCTACACTGTAGATCGTGTTTAATAAGGGCAGAAGTCATTGTTTGTATGCGTTTTAAAATAAAACGCATACAAACAATGACTTAATTGTTTTAAATAGGGCAGGGCAGAAGTCATTTTTAGTCAGTTTGAATGCGTTTTAAAACTATATCACAAAATAGCTAACAAATTCATTTAATTGGACTCCGATTAAATGAATTTGTAATTCTCCAATTGAAATTCATTCAATTGGAATTTTTTTTTCAAATATCAAAGGAAAATGAAATAACAAAATAATGTACATTTATTTTTATTTCTTGTAAAAGTTACTTAACTAGCATAAAGTTTGAAAATAAAAAAAACAAACTAAAAACTAAAAAAATATTTGGACAGATTTCTAATGATGTAATGATACGGTTTCCTGATATTAAGGCGAACCATGATAAAATATAAAAATAAAAAAAAAAAAAAAAAAACACTTTCTTTATTTGTTTTTGTTGGTATAAAAACGTTTATTGTTTTGGAACATGATTTTTTTTTTTGTTTTTTTTTGTTAATAATTTTAATAATGTTGTTTTTTTTTTAAAAAAAAAGAAATAAAAATTATGAATGTAAGTATAATACTTACATAAATTGCAATAATTGCAATTGCAGAAGAGGATGTTTATGTTCGTTCATCCAAAAATGGTTCTAAGCAGGTGGATAGTGGTGATAGGGTTCAATACTGTTGTGTACCAGTGCGTAAAAATGTTAGGTATGACAAGCATAAAATAAAAAATTAGTTTATTTACCTTTCTTAAAAGTATCTTCCGATTGTTAACAAAGATGATAAATGTATTAAATATCATTCGACGATAAGGAGGAATAGACAACTTTTATATTGAAAAGAATTTCATTATAATACTAGTGATGCTTATATTAAAATAAAATTCAAACCTTGTTTTGGAAGAAATACATTTTATAAAGATGCTAACCCGTCTATTTTTGTATTTAAAGAAAACAATATTAAAAAAAAAAAAACTTTTTTAAAATGATTTAGGGGACATCCACAAAGTACGTACAGTAAAACACGCAGTAAACAACTCATTTTATGCGATAGTGGTGCAGTGCTAGAGCGCTCGCTTCATAAGAAAGAGGTTTTGAGTTCGATCCCCACCATCTTCTACAAAACACAATTTTTTTAAAACGTTGAAAACCTAAAACGTTTTTGTTAATTCGACATATCTCTGTTACGTAACATAATACCGAGTTTTTTAACTCATGAAATTCAATGCTTTTGTTAAGAAAAAAAGAAATTAGGTTTTAGGAGAGATAGAGAACAAGAAATATTTGATATGTGTGCAATAACTCCTTCTTTACATATGTCTTTTGCTTGAAATACATTTTTGCAGAATATATAAATATTGAAATATCACTTTCCTCTTTCAATATCACCTCTTAAGAGTTTTTAATTGATATTTTTTTTGATTTACCACTTAATTTACAATAAATTTAAGTTTCATTTATGGTAAATAGGGGCATTTCTTTCAATTTTTTTCCCCTATTATTTTCTACCAGATACTTTCAATTTATCTCGGTAACTTTATATTGTATATAAACAAAATCGATTTATTTTGTCTTTAGTAAAATGAACACAGAAACTTGTATTTTTAAATTGTTCTTCAATCTTTTTTAAGTAAAGAAGACTGAAGTCTAGGTTAAATGATAGCGATAAGTGCAGGTTAAATGATAGCGATAAGTCAAATATCTTTCTTATATTTTTCAGATGGAACAAAACTGGCATTACTAGCCATTTGTTAAAGTAAGTTTACAAATAAGTTACCTGCAGCAAAGGAGCAGACAGAGGAATTATCAGTAGCTCATTCTGAGTAGGCTAATGAAATCGCATGTAGTAGTGCAAAAACTTGAGAAATAAAATAGCTCACAGTAAGGTATGCTAATTTAATTCTGATTTAGCCAAGTTAAGTATAAAGACAGAAACCAAGAAAGATTTGAATGATAAAGATTTTTCTGAATTGTGCATAAAACAATATTATTATTATTCAAGAAAAATCATACCAAAGCTAATAATAGATTAGATAAATGAGAATTAACTGATTTGAGTAAATGGAAACTATATGGAGAAGGCGTCTCATGTAGAGACATTAGATGATGGTCAACTGGAAGCAAACTGCATAAAAGAATCTGAAATAGTAAAAAAGTTTTCCACAGAAATGAGCTGCATAAAAAGAAAAATATTTAAACTTCTGACGTGAACAAACATTACTACGGACTTATGAACAAGATACGTGTGTGGTTTTTTTTTTTTTTTGTTATTGTTGTTCTTTATTACAATATTTAATCAAATATATACAGGAAATAAAATTACAGGTAGAAAATTCGTTAAAAAGATTAAAACTTTGACAATATTTAATAAATAAAACAAAGAACGCGGACACTCGAAGAAAACCATTAGGTCTGTCACCAAGAACCGCTAAATTTAAACGTGATAAATAAATGATTGTTAATAACTTTTAATTCAATAAATTAGATTTTATATGATATTATAATTGATGTCATTTTAAAACAAGTTTTTTAATATCTCTTTTTCTGAAATATATGCAGGTTAACATTAGCTTTTTCTGAAATATATGCAGATTAACATTATCTTTAAAACAGACATTATCATTAAAAAAGTCTTTTGAATAAATTTTTTTCTGTTTATAATTAGGGGAGAACTTGCACCCTTGATCTGTAAGCACCTTTGATCCTATAGCGTTATCTCCATACTTACATAACTTATTAAAGAGGGTTGATAACCAGCGTGTTATAAATATTGTATCTTCAAAATTAATTGGGTTTTGGTTAAAGAATAGACCACTATTAAATTTATTTCTAAATAGTTTGATTTTGACGAAAAAAAGTATTTTTTTTACTTTAACAAGGAACCTCACATCTTTAATATTTTTTTAAGTTGAATAATTTTGCTTATGTCATTTTGTAACTTAACTATTCACCTCTTGTATGGTTGCTTTTGGTAAGCTATAGAAGCATCTAATATGACCAAAAAATGCTAACCCGCTCCATTTTTACAAAAATGGTGCTAACCCGCTCCATTTTTGTAAAAATGGAGCGGGTTAGCACGCTTGATCCTAATGCGTTTATGCACCTTTGATCCTATGATCAAAAGTGCATACACACACACACACAAAATGTGTAACTTTTAAAGTAACATGTACAATACGTCAAATTGTTTTTAAATATATTTTTTTCTTCTAGAATAAAACCTTAAAATGAAGATTTTATACTATTTTGTATTTTTTTGCTCTCCTAAAACTTTTATATAATATAATTGTAAAGTATTCAATATATATATATATATATATATATATATATATATATATATATATATATATATATATATATATATATATATATATATATATATATATATATATATATATATATATATATATATATATATATATATATATATCTGTGTGTGTTTGTAAATAAAGAAGATTTTAGTAAGTAAAAATCTTTATAAATGTTTATCCAAAAATTAGGAATATAGCAAAACTATATAAATATGTTTCATTTTTTTACAGTTAAATATATCATAAAAAACGAAAAACCTATAGACTACCTAGAGGTAAAGTTAATGAGAATGAAATGCGAGCAGCTGTTAATGCAGTTCTTAATGGTAGTACAGTTTATCGTGTATCTAAAGAGAGGGGAATCAATTTAATGACACTTAAGAGATATGTAAGGAAATGTCAATTAAATCCATATACAGTCTGCAAACCTAACTTCATTACCATGCAAATCTTTACCAACGAAGAAGAAACATCTTTATCTGATTATCTTTTAAGGGCCTCTAAACTTCACTATGGATTATCAACCAAAACAACACGAAAACTTGCCTGAATTTGCAATGACTCTTTCTAAGTGCATTCCTAATTCGTGGAAAAGTTTACAAATTGCTGGGAAACAGTGGCTTCGTGGTTTTATGTTACGTAGGAATGAGTTATCTTTAGGAAATCCAGAAGCTACTAGTATGGCATGAGCAACTGCTTTAATTGTTATACAATCGGAGAATTTTTCACCAATCTAAAAAGATGTTCGTCTACGACACAAGTTTCAGCCACAAAACATATATAATGTTGATGAGACAAGTCTCACAACTGTTCAAAAACCAGTTAAAGAATTGCTAAAAAAGGAGATAAACAAGTTGGAAGAATAACTTAAGCAGAAAGAAGGACATTGGTAACAGTTTGTTGTGCAGTCAATGCAATAGGAAACTCAATCCCTCCATTTTTTATTTTTCCAAGAGTTCGTTTCAAAGGAAGTATGTTCAATTCCTGCCACAGCAAATCCTGCAGAAATGCAGGATTTGCTGTGGCAGGAATTGAACCCTTTAATCCTAACATATTTTCTGATAATGAGTTTTTGTCTTCATATGTAACAGACCGTCCAGAACCTATTACTGCTAACCCTTTTCCAGGTGTTGTTGATCCAGTTCATGCCCCAGCTTTTAATCAATCATTGATGTCAAGTCTGTTATCTGGTTCAGCTTGTAGTGTATTGCCTATTCAGCCTATATCTGACCCTGGAAGTCAACTATCCAGTGTTTCTAATAATATCTCTCATCAAGCAAGTCTAGAAAAAATTAGGCCATTTCCAAAAGCTGGATCAAGGAAATCCATTAAAGGACGTAAACATCAGCGTACTCGAATACTCACAGACACTCCTGTTCGAAATGAGTTAAATAAGCTTCAGGAAATAAAAAAAATCTCAGAAAAAACATGAAATGCAAAATAAGATCTTCATGACAAGAAAAAGAAAACTTGATCTTGAAAGTAATGAAAATAAAAACGTTGAGTCTCAGTAAAAAATAACATTTTTTTCATTAATTTTTACTTTTTTAAGAAAGATAAATTTGTAGTAAAATTAATAATAACTTTATTGGTTTTTATTATAGACATTGTTTTGATGACTTAAAAATTATTCTTATACAATCAAATTTGATCTCGAATCAAGCAGCCGTGGCGCAGTGGTAGCGCACTTGCCTCAGGAACGTAAGATCCGCGGTTCAAACCACCTCTGGGCAAGTTTTGCGACATCGGTTAGGAAGGAGGCGTGAACTTCCTATTAAATGCTCTTCCGCGGTGCTCTGTGATAAGACCGTAAGGACTTCTTGGGGCACCTAAATCAACATAAAAATAAAAAAAAAAAAAAAAAAAAAGTATACATACATAGGATCAAGGGTGCATATAGGTAGGATCAAGGGAGCATACTGGTATGCACCCATGATCCTAATTGAGCATTTTTATTTTTTATAATTTTAAATCTACTTAAAATATTCTGGTAAAAAAATGATAATTGAATTATATATATATTTATATATATATATATATATATATATATATATATATATATATATATATATATATATATATATATATATATATATATATATATATATATATATAAATATATATATATATATATATACATATATATATCTATTGGACATATGCTACCTTTGTCAATGATGCTTTATGAAATTAGTCAAGTTATTGCTTACAGTTAACTTTATGCTATTTACAACTGCATCCAAAATATTAGAATTAGCTAACTTCGAGTTTACTTGTATTATATATGAATAAATATTTTTTTCATGTTTTAACAGTATAAAATTATGAATTACATTTACAAAACCTTATAAATAGGTATTTTAAGATGTATTAATACTAAAACAAGTTTGTAAGTTATATATTTTATAAAAAAAACTTGCTGAGACCCAATTATTACATAACCATTTTGAATAAAATATATATGTTTTCGCCACAAAACTCGGATACATCGTTTAACTTGAAAAATTATTATTTGAGACCAGGCGGAAATCGGCCGAATGTAAACCAAATTTATATTGATAATATACATATTGAACAATGTACTTCAAGTCTCAAATTACTGGGCCATCTTGGAACGCAAAAGTATTCGACTAGTAGTAAAATTTCAACTAAAAAAAGTACTTCAAATACGCCGTCATTTGAAATCATTTTATATGACATAGCGTGCAAAACAGTGTTGCAATAGCTCATTTGAAAGATAATACTTGATTTTATTAAATTATGCAATAAATAAAGTTTTAAAAAGAGCCAAAATAATAAAATTAACAACAGTTTTATGCTTATTAGTAACGCAAAAACTATTATTAAATAAAATAATAAAAAAAAAGTTTTTTATTCTACAACTTGGAAGCATACGTCATGATAATTATACAAAAATATATACATTTTATAAAAGCTGCTGTTTAAGCTATAAAATGGTAATTAATTATGTAATTTTTGAGAATGTATTTTCCTTACTTTTGTCCACCACCTGGACCACTGTGCATTTCTTGGAAAATAATGTAAAACAGTACTGAAGTTTTTCTTTAAATTTTAAAATTCATTTTAAAATGCAAATAAAAAAAATAAAACGTATATTTCAAGGGTTAAAAGTAAGAAAACAAAACATATATATGGATGTTAAAAACACTATTCTAGAAATTTGTTTAGAATATTGTTTGTTAGTATGAAATTCAATTCAAAATAATACAAAATAATATTCTACTATTGTCGATGATATTTTTCAATTATTTCAAATATTTAGAATAATAGTCAAGTTTCCAGACCTTTAGTTAGGTTTGTTTAAATACTTAAGAACATAGTAAAATAAAATTCTGAGCGTAAGGATAATTCCAATAATCGTTAAAAGCGACTGTGTTATATCTAAATCAATATTTTTGGTTTTCATCATTATATCGTGACCAGTGATGTATGTGTTGTTGGAAGTACATTGTTGAAAAATGGAATTTTCGGAACATCTGTAATAAAGATGAAATTGAAATGAATTCGTATCAAATTTATACTATTAAAAAATTTTTTACAAATATATATACTATAAAAAATGATACCGGATTTTAAAAATTAGATAATAAAAATTATATTTAGGGGTTGCTCAAAATGGATCTCTAACATTATAGAAAAAAAGTTATTTATTTTAAAGTTTTACTATTTTTTTTATTTGAAGTTCCAATAAAGCATTTTTTTGTTTTTATTTCGAAGCCTGCTAGGTTTGTGTGCAATGATAAAATAAGAAATATGAACATATATAACTTACTTAAACGGTTTAACAGCGTATTGAAACTCCATTCTTACAAACACGTTGTATATATAAGTAAGATGAGATATATACTTGGACCATGTTAGCCAACTAGGCAATCTTTTTGTATAAAAACCTGCTAAAAGCATAGTGGACATTAATACAATTACTGCAGCAACAATAGCTTTTTTTAGGTTTTTAACGCTTCCGCCGATTATGAGTCCAGCAGACTAAAAAAAAAAAAAAGAGGTTAATCACGTAACTATACATTTTTTGTAACCAATATCTAATACCTAAAAATAATAGATAAAATTTTAATTAAAACAAAATAAAATTTATTTTTATCTTGCTTTTATGTAAAAAAAAAAAAAAAAAAAAAAAAAAAATTACTTGTGCTGTTAGAGTAATTAACATGATATTAAAAAGTCCTAGCAGAAATATAGGTGAACGATTCAGCCCAGTTAGCCAGTATGTTATTGTATAAATAAAAAACTGCGGAAGAAATAAAATTGGTAAGTCAACTATGTTCTTAGCTGTATAATATGCTGAGAGACGATACATACCAGCAGCACGCTCTTTAGCAATCACCTTACTTTCAGTAGGAACTGAAAAAAAAAGAGTAAGAAATACACAAATAACTTAATACTTATATCCCTAAAATATATAAACTTGCTAGAAAAAAGAGCCCCTATAATTAGTAAAAATCGTTGGGCTTTGTATTCTTTTTTCCATAAACTTATGAGTTATTTAACATGATTCGCCTAATATTTTTTTGTTTTTTTGTTTAAAGGATGTAAAAGTGAGAAAAATAAATGTCTTTGAATTATAATAGAATTAATTTATTATATATATATAGAATTAATTTATAATAATAAAAAAAGTATTTTTCGATGAAAAAATTACTGATTTTTTTAATTATTGAAAAAAGCTCTTAGTTTTTTGAACAACAAACTTGAAAAAACACTAAAAGTAATTTTGGATTAACTAAAAAAAAAATATTAAAAAAAATAAATAATAATTTCTAAAAATAATTTAGGATTAACTTAAAAAAGTTTTTAAAAATTTGAATTCTATACTAAAAGCTACGTATATAATCAAATTTTAAAAGCATTTGTCATTTGTATCAAAAAAGGTTTCATTCCTTAATGTATATATATATATATATATATATATATATATATATATATATATATATATATATCTTTAGTGTTGACATCGTGTATAAGAGTGTATGTATTAAGAAAACATCAAATAATACGAATTCTCTTAATACAAATGATAATTTATTATTAGAAATTTTCGCTGGATTATGGGGTTACCAGCATCATCAGCTCGTAAAAATTAATACAAAATTTTTTAACGTTAAAAACAGTTTAAAATTAACTGACGTCAGCAACTGGCTTCTTTATTTGCTAAAAATGTAAAAAACGGAGTCCAAAATTTAGTTATCTAGATTAATGCCACCATTTAAAGGAGAAAATTGATACCTCTGTATTTCAAGAGCTTCGCGCACTTTTCAATCAAACTTTTTTGTTTCCACTTTAATTGTTTTAACATCCTCCCACTTTATTTCTTGTGAGCAAAACTTATTATGGGTGGCTATTGCCGACTGATAATGTTTCCCCTCGTTTAAACTTTTTTGATGTTGTTGAATTCGATGTTAAAAGTGTTCTTAAATTAGGATTTGATTTGAAGACTACTTTATAGCCAACTTTCCGAAATATTTTCCTTTATTTTGGGGATAGTGATAATTATATAATATTATCACTATCCCCAAAATTAAAACATATTATATATATATATATATATATATATATATATATATATATATATATATATATATATATATATATATATATATATATATATATATATATATATATATATATATATATATACTTATAAATAAAAATATTCAATATTTAAAACTTAAAAAACTATTGTTAACATACTATAAAACTATTTATTGAAAATCTTCTTACATGTGAGAAGTGTAGAAAACATCTGGTTAGCAAACATATAAATCATGAGGAAAAAAATCTAAAACAAAACTTAGTGTATACATATATATATATATATATATATATAATATATATATATATATATATATATATATATATATATATATGTACATGTATATATATATATATATATATATATATATATATATATATATATATATATATATATATATATATATATATATATATATATATATATATATATATATATATGACATTGTGATAATGAGTGA